GCGGCACGTCCCTACCTGCGGTGGCCGGGTAGATGGGGGACCTCAATCCCTACATCACAGCCCCCAGAAATTAGACAGCTTGCGCAGCCAACAGACGGTAAGCGGCAGAGCAAGGATGCGAGCCCACACTGCGCGGGGGTCCTCCATACTTGTAAGGGCTAACTTCCTATTGCTGGTGACAGTTGTCACAAACGTACACACATTTAATATTTACAAGTCTGGAGGTCAGAAGCCTCCAAGGTCTCAATGGGCCAAATTCAAGGATCAGCAGGGTGTCTTCCTTCTGGGAGCTCTGGGTAGAATCTGTTCTGCCTTTTTCAGCTTCCAACAGCCTGGCTCCTTGGCTCAAGCTGCTTCTACCTTCAAAGTCAGGAACAAAAGGACCCTTGTGATGACATCGGGCCACCCAGTTGGACTGGGATACACTCCCTATTTTAAGTCAGATGAGCAGCCCTATGTCAGTCTGCAGCCCTGACTCCCCTTTGCCACGTAGCTGCACAGGTCCAGGGACAAGGACCTGAAATGAACAGCTTTGGGGCCTTTCTGTCACTGCCCCAAAAGCCCACAAAAATGTTTTAATGCCGGAAGAGATAATTGAACTTTTAGATCAAAGAAAATGTTTTGATATATATTAATATATTCATTGTTACATCAATGCAGTTGCTAAGTATAATTAAAAAAACCGTTTTTTTAATGGAGTAAGGGCCTTGCCCATCTGACCTCCAGGTGCACACACTGCCTGTGTCCTTCCAAGAACTAAGGTCTCTGGGATGGTTCACTAACAGGAGGGTTTTGAAGAAAGAGCAGTTTGAAAGGACACCATCTGGGGTGGGTGGGTCTGGAAGGCAGGGGGTGTCCCGGTGGAGAGAGCAGGGCGGAGGGGGCGCTGGCTCATCCGATTCTACTCACACCTTCTTAGATCCTGTAACCCCATCAGTGTGGTGACCCCAGCAAGACCTAAGGCCACTTCTTATAACCTGTGACCTTGAAAATGTTTCTTAGCCCCCCTGTGCCCAGTTTCCTTAACAAAAAACAGGGACAGTAGCACCCAATCCAGCTCCGAGGGCTGTTGTGAGACCCTGCCCCAGCGTTTCTCAAAGCGCGCCTGGGACCATCTGCATCAGAAGGAGCGTAGGGTGAAGTCTGAGAACCACAGTGAGGTGAGGCAGTCACAGGGCAGGACCTCCCACACTGTAAAGCCCATGAATGCTGATAAACTTTAAGTCCCCTCAACTGCAGCCCACACTAGACTCTCTGGAGTGCTAATTGCATTCAAGGCTGGCAGCCAGGAGCTGGCCACTGGAGCGAGGCGCTGCTGCTTGGCCAGCTGGCCCCTCGTGGGCAGGCACTGGGCCAAGGATTACTTCTGCCCTGCAGCGTCTTGTCAAGCCCTCCTGCTACATTCCTTCCAGTCTCAGCTCCCGGCTCCACCCTTACAGAAGCAGCCTCCCCACATCACCCAGCCCAGCCAGCCGAGTGCCAGGCTCCAGTATCAGCTGTGACTCCACTCCCAAAATGGGGAGCCTGTGGGCAACATGTTTCCGGCATTTCTTCCTCTCGTCAGAGCCTGGGCAGGGGTGGAGTCCCAGCGCAGTAAATGTGTGCTGGCCCCATGCGGTGCCACTCGGGCAGGTGGGTATGGGGAGGGGGCTGGGGAGGGGCAGGTGGCGGCGGCCCCCAGGGTGGTGTGGCACATGAGTGAGATCATGGGTGCCTGAGGCTCTCACCCGCCTGTCTGAGAGGATGGCTGTTTGACAGTAAGAATGGGACAGGCCCCAGAGCCATGAGGTCAGACCTGCTCAGTGATGCCAGGTGGGGGGCAAGGGGTGGGAGTGAGGGCCAATGTCCAGGTAGAACCTCCCCGGCCTTTTCTGCACGACACCAGCAGGGAGAACACTCAGGAGGTGTGTGCAGAATGCAGGGAGGGGCGAGGGAAGGGCTGGAGGGCCAACGGGACGGGCATGACCCTCTGACGGCAGAAAGGCCTCGAGCAGCTGGCTCTGGAGAAAACAGAATATGTTTAATGATTTCCAAGGACACGGTGTGGAGTCCAGGGTGGGCCATCACACGAAGTAGGCAGCCAGGGCTGACATCTTGTCCTTGGGCCGCCTGGCACCAGGCTTTCCTGCCGGCCTCCGGCCCCGGCCCCGGCCCCGGCCCTGCCTCCTCCCAGGCCCACGGTGCATGGGGTGGCAGGAGGCTGCGTGCTTCAGCTCCACCAGCTCCTGGAAGATGGGGTCGCAGAAGACGCAGCCCGTGTGCTGCGTGCTGTCGCCCGGCAGCGGGGACTTGGCCTTGTTGAAGTCCACGTCCAGCAGGGCAGCCTCACAGGCGCTGCAGGTGTCGGCGGACACGCGCACGCGGTGGGCATTCTCAAAGCAGTGTGCCACCACGTTGCACCTGTTGCAGGCCACCCGCCACTTGGGGCCAGAGGTTGGGTCGAGCACCAGCACGCCGCTCTCGCACTCCACGCACTGGCCGATGCCCAGCATGCTCAGCGAGTGCTGGCAGGTGGGGTGTGTGCACTCATTGCAGCCCGTACCTGGCGAGGGAAGTGGGCAGCTGTGATGCACACTTGCCTGCCCACCCCGACCTCGTCCCAGCAGAATGTGCCCCACCTGCCCTGCGCACCATGACCCTGGGCCCTGCTTCTCCAAAACCTCCTCGACCTCTGAGGTCCCCCTACCAGGGGGGCTATAACAGCGTTTGCGGAAGGCCTTCCTGGTGGCCTCCAGCTTCACTGTGGCCAACGAGGGGCCATCAGTTGCCCTAGAAGCTGCGGGAGGGCAGGGATGGGTATCACTGAGAGTGCTGGTGACCGAAGGCTGAGTGGGGCACCCTCGCACTCACCCCAGCTCCAGATGGGCCCAGCACGTCCACTGCCCAGGTCGTGAGTGAGCCGACTACAGTCAACTGTCCAATTGTGACCAGGGCAGTGGGCCTTGAGCACATACACCTGGTGTCCCTGTGCCAGAGCGCACAGGGAGGGCAGGGGCGCCTCAGAGCGCAGAGTGACGCAGAAGCCCAGGGGATGGACAGGCTGCCGGCTCACCTTTCTTCATGTCCCGGAAGGGCGGGTGGTTGGAGCAATAGGGGCACAGCGGGTAGCTCTTGCCCCGCGAGCCCGACGACCACAGAGCCAGCTCGAAGTCATCCAGCGGGCAGCGGAGCTCCTTGTACAGCTTGATGGTGCCGTTCTGGGGGAGGCTGTAGGTCTCGTCGCAGTGTGCACAGTGCAGGCGGCTCGGCTTGGCCTGTGAGGGGGGCATGCAGCTGCTGGGGCCACCCACCCTGCCTACCGTGGTTCTCCCGATTCAGGACGTGACATGTGACGTGTCATACCCCAGAGGACAATGTGACACATGCCACAAGACCCATGACACAAGCACATAGCACATGGTGGCTGCACACACATACCCAATGCGTAGCATCTACCGTGTAACACCTGTGCATGACACATAAGACATGGCATGTAACATGGCACGCACAGTAGGGAACACGAAATACCCAGCTCTGTCATGGCCTCTCGGGTGTGGACCCCTGGCCACTAAGTCTCAGGACACTTGCTCCACATGCAGAAAGTTCTCAAATCCCTGCACACGTGTTAGTATCCTTGACAGCAAGGACTGTGTTGTCCAGAAAAAGGCAGCCCAACAGCTTACATGCTGCTGGGATCTGGGGGCAATGGTGGGAGTTTGCTGGCAGGGCCACCAAGGCTGGTCAGTCACTTGGTGTGATGCAACTGGGGCGAGGCCTACAGAGGTGATGAGAGCGGCCCTGTCTGTACACACCTGTCCCTGGGTGTCACAGCCCCTCAGCCCACCTACCTGGATGTACTTCATGAACCGGTGGCACTTCCCACAGCGGGAGAGGGGCTTGCCTGTGGCCGCCAGAGGCGAGAAGGACACCTCCATCAACTCATCCATGCCTGAAAACCAGTGGCGCAGAGTCACACCTCAACCTCGGGTGCCCACCTCCCCACCAGTGGCCAGGGTACTGGGTGGGCTGGGGGAGCCACTGCATGGGGCCAAGGGTCTGAGAGTGAACTGGTCTCTGGCCCCAAGGGTGGAGTTTCCACATCAGTAACTGAACAGTGAGCAGCAGCCCCGTTTGTCAGATGAGCCATTTGCCCTGCACGTGCTGTTACCAACTGCTCTGTAACTCCGGCATTGGCCCGTCCTCCCAGTGGACGCCTGGAGCCCACAGCCCGGATCTGGGAGCTGGTCTCACTGCCAGAGGTGGTAGCCCTGACTCCAGCCTCCTTACCGGCGATGGAGTCCACAAAGTAGTGGAACTTCCTCTTGAAGACATCCAGGGTATGGCCCAGGACCTGGCGGTAGTCGGCCCTACCCTGGGCGATCAGGTTCAGCTGCTTCTCAACTGCACTGCGGATGGTGGGGAGCACCAGCTCTGCATCTGTGGGGTGGGGGACGCTGCTGAGCCCCGACACCAAGGGGCCAGCCCTGCTGGGGCAGCTCCTGGGAGGGGCGGTGGCAGGGCTCACCGATCTTGTAGTAGCCGTGCACCAGCACGATGCCCAGGTTGGTGGGCCGGAGCCGCCGCCCACTCTCCACCACCACGTAGTTGCGCTGGCAGATGTTGTTGATGTGCACAGGGATGCTGGCGTCCGTCCCTGTGAACACAGCAAGGCCCCGTTGCCCTGGGCTCCCCCTTCACCCCACCTGCTTCGGGGCCCCGGATGCCACACCTCAGAACCTTTCTTGTGAACCCAGGGTCCATGCTCCCAGAGGCTCTGTGAGGTTAAGGAACATGGCCAAGGTCACAGAGCTCGTCTGCCTGCCTCTCACACCTGGTAAATGTGATCTGATTGGCCTCTCCCTGCCTTGATCCTGTGGCAGAACCCATTCCAGAACCAGAGCCCCGACCCCAGGAACGTGGAAGGGACTCACTGCCAAATCATCCCTCTGAAACCCGCCTGGGTTTGCCCACTTCCTGGCTCCTGGGTCCCTCGTGATCAGAACCCGGGCAGGATCCCGGTTCCAGGGTGCACCTCCCCCAGAGACGTCAAGGTTGCCCGGCGCTGCCAGGTGATGCCTTTATTGCTCCTAAGGCCGAGGAGCCCACCGAGGTCCAGGCACCGTGGCCCGGTTGTCCCCTGGCCCTCTAGAGCCTGTCACCGCGACGGACCTGGTCAGCAGTTCCCCTCGCAGTGAGCGCTGCCTGGGGAGAAGGCCCCAGCACGAGGCCGGCCCTAAACATGAGGACGGGGGTCACAGCCCCTGGGCCTGGGCGAGACCCCCTCGCCTGTGAGTGCTTGCATCAGCGTCCCCAAAAGCTCCCCTGTCCGGCACATCTACACCCTATAGGGAAATGGTCTGGTGAGAACTTGGTTTTCCTGTCGCCTGTGTGGATTCTGATCTGAGTTTTGTGTCTTCCTTGCAGGCGAATCACTAGCGCCCTGGGCCAGCACTCAGCCCGGGGGTGGTGGGTGGTGGTCCTGTGGCCAGGGCCCCAGGCAGAGCCCCCAGCCCTGGCTCAGCTGGCCGCCCTGGCACTGCCGGACCCACCGATGCCGTGCTTCTCCATGAGCGTGATGAGCTCGGCCTCCGTCAGGTAGTCGGGGGGGCTTGTCTGCTTCTCCAGCATCTTGACCTCGCCCACGGCAAGGCTGTCACCCCTCTGGCAGGTGGGCAGGCTCTCCTCCAGGGGGATGCTCTGCCAGGGCATGATCTCTGTGAAGCCTGCAGAGACAGGGCACCGCCGCTCAGGGCCTGAGAGCAGGGCTGCCCACCTGGGTCCCCAGAGGTGCCCGAGCGTCTGTGGATGGGGAGGGGCGTCTGCCTGGCCGCACCCCACCTGGGGAGATGACGGTCTTGCCCGTGCAGGTGAAGCGTTCGGGCCCGATGCGGAAGGAGACGCTGCTCTGCAGGTACCTGCAGTCGTGGCTGACCGTGGCGATGAAGTGCCTGGTGATGTACTCATACAGCCGCCAGGCCTCGCCCCCTGTGGTGGGCACGGCTGGTTAGCGGCCAGGCGGGGGCACCAGGAAGCCCGGCACGCCAGCGCTGGCCTGCTCCAGAGCCTGAGACCGGGAGGGACCTGCTCCCACCTCCTGCCCCTGCTCCCAGGGGATCTGCTCTCCAGGGCCTGGCCTGCCCCACAAACCACCTGCCACCTTCACTTCAGACTGGGGCTTCTGTCTCCACCGCAGCCTCGCTCCCCTGCCTCATCCCGGCACGCGGGCCACCAGCATCACCTTGTGGCAGGGAAGTGAGGGCACCCCATGGTTAAGCCTGTCCCCTGCCCGGTCTCAACCGATCTGTCTGGCCACCTGCCTGCCCATCCACCTCACCCTCCACCTCCTGCAGCAGCACCTGCACCTGCTTTCACACACCTGCTGCCACCATTTCACTCCTGTCCCATCCATGGAGACAGAGCACAACTTTCAGGTGGCCCCTTCATCCCAGCCGGGGCAGGGGGACCCCACACTGCCAAGGAGTCCTGATAAGGGCCAAAGGTGCCATGTCCCAAAGCCCCTCACCCCCCCCCTCCTTGGAAGCTCAAAGCCTGAGTGTGTGTGTGCGTGTGTAGGAATGTGTCTGTGTGAGGGCGTGAGCATGTGTGCGGGGGGTGTGAGGGTGAGAATGTCAGAGGAGCTGCAATACCTAATTCGGCCTCTGTGGCGGATCTCATGGGGGTGATGGGGGGATGGTCGCCAGCATCGTGGCCTTTCCGCGGGCGGTTGATGCCTTCCGCCAACAACCGCTTCACCTGCAGGGGGGACATGAGGCAGAGCTGAGTTCAGGTGCGGCTGCCCACCCACGAGGACGAGGCCCGTGGGCCGGAGCTCCAGCCTCACCGTGTCGGCCCAGTAGGGGTGGTTGGCCTGCTGCCGCAGAGGCCCCTTGAGGTCAAAGTTCTCGGGGTAGTGGGTGGTCTCGGTCCGCGGGTAGCTGATGTAGCCCTGCGTGTAGAGGCGCTCGGCCGTCTGCATGGCATGCTGTGGGCCCATGCCTGTGGAGACAGAGGCCCAGCGGCCCCAGTGCCAGGATGGCAGATGCCCGCCCCGGGTCTGGGCACTCAGGCTCCTGGGAGGCGAGCGTGGCTCTGAGCAGCCGGGGGACTGTGCCCACACAGCCTTTCCCAGGGCCAAGCTTCCCACCTCCAACAGGCACGCCTGTGTCACCCCTGAGATGTTGGAATGTGGCCTTCAGAACACCTGTCTCATGCCCTGCCCGGAGCCACCCTAAGCCCTGGGCTCCGTGATGTCTGGCTAAGACAGTGGAATCTGCACATGCCCTACATCCTGAGCCCTCGGGGGTTTCTGTCCTCCAAATCCAGGGCCACTGATGGAGGCTCGTCCCTCTGTTCCTCCCTGAGCCACAGTCTGGCCTAGCTAGCAGGTACTCGATGTCATCGCTGACCCATGAAGGTCCCCAGAGGTCCTGCTCTGACAAGACACTGCCTACGGTTTCCTGAGGCTGCAGAGGGGCCACTGGTGCCTGGGGGCTGACAGCTGTCAGAGACCAGCCTTTCAACATAACCTTCTTGCCACTGTGGAAACGAGGCTCAGAGAGACCACGTCACACCAGTTACACTGTCCTGAGCAGGAGAAACGGGCCTCGAGTGCCCTGCCCACACCTGGCCTCTCCCTGCACCAGGGACACCAGCGCTGCCTGTCCCTCTTGGTGGCCACCTCGTCACAACTGCTATTGTTAGGATGCTCAGTTTCACACCAGGGAACCCTAAAACAGCTTAGAGAGAAGGGGACTGCGGTCGCCCATTTTCTCACAAGGAAACTGAAGCTTCAGGACAAGGAAGCAAGGGGCCTGGCTGGGATTTGTACCAATTTTTGGTTCTGGAGCTGGAACTCCACTGTTTAACGCCTTGGAGGGGGTGGCACCCAGCCAGGGACACACGAGGGCCCAGTGGCTGCTCAGACACTTAGTGACATGAAATGGTCTGGTTTTCCCCACAATTCAAATACACTGTTTAGTGTTAACCAACAGTCTTATGAAAGGGAATCCTCCCTGCTGTTTGTTGTCACTTGTTACTGCTTTGGAATTTAAGAGAAATAAAATCCATGTTATGTTCTGACTCCCTCTAAGCCTCGGGTGATGGTGCATAGTGGGGGTGTCAGCACAGGTGAGCAGGGGTGGGGGGTCCTGGCACAGGTGAGCAGGGGTGGGAAGGGTGCCAGCACAGGTGAGAGTGGGCACTGCCCTGAATTCCCAGGCGTGGTACCAGGGCTGAACAAGGTCGGCACACACCTGCCCCAAGAATTCTCCTGGGGGCTTTGGAGTGATGTCCACACTTACCCAGAGAAGAGCTGGCCACACGTAGCATCTCCACGGTGTTCAGGGCCAGGGGCCTCTGCTTGGCCTTCTCTTTCCTGCTTGTGGCCTCCACCTGGGAAACAGAACAGATTCAGAGGGGCAAGAACACAAGAGGATCAGGGGATGTGGCCAAGGGTCTGGTCTCTTCTGTTTGGTTTCCCTGCTTCTCTGATTCACTCCTTTTTTTTTTTAATTGTTTTATATTCAGTTTACAATGTTGTGTCAATTTCCAGCGTACAGCACAATTTTTCAGTCATACACGAACATACATATATTAATTTCCTATTCTTTTTCACCATGAGCTACTATGAGATCTTGAATATATTTATTTCCCTGTGCTGTACCGTATAAACTTGTTTATTTCGATTCACTCTTCACAGCGGTCTTAAGGCTTGAATGAAATTTGTTCAGGCCCATGAAGGGCAAAAGGAAGGAAATTCTTTCCTAGAGAATTTTCTAGGGAAACAGAAAACCTGGAAGAACTGGGAAGGGTCAGGAAAAGGGGCCACATACTGAAAGCCCAACAGCAGCCAGTGTCACCTAGGCCGCAGGGATGGTAGGGCCCAGAGGCCAAGGGGAGCAGGCCCCTCGCAGAGCAGCCGTGTGCCTCGCTGCGCCCACTAGTGTTGCTACACCTTCCAATTTGTCAAGAGAAGCTGGAAATTGGAACTTTTATGTGAAATATCATAACTTTTATATGTGGTAACCATTTTGAAAGTTTTATAAACAGCACGCACTTTAAGTAAAATTGTGGTTCAACCTCTGGGCTGAATAGGTGTCAGAAGAGATGTCTGTGGCAAAAACAATCTAAACTTGTCAACTGCCACGCCTCACCCCTGCCAACCCCACACAGACCTGGCCAGGGCCGTGTCCCCTGCACTCTGGATAAACGTGGGGCTCACGCAGAAGCCAGGTGGTGCCTGTGTAGCAGTGGAGGCTGGGGTCACAAAGGGTGGGATTTGAGCATGGTGGCCGTCAAGGGGAGAAGCATGGGGCAGCTTTAGGAGAAGTTCTGGAGCCTAAGTCACCTGCAAGCTGGCCAGCAGGGCACCCAGGACTGCTTGAGAAGGACAGGGAAGGCGGCTGAAGGAGGCAGGTGTGCCTCACTGACCACAGTAGCCAACACAATGGCAGGGCGTAAGCTGCAGCGGTCTCGGACCTGCCCCGCCCCACGCCGCCAGCTCCAACCTCGTCCTAACAGCTGTGCGGCATGGGCTTCCCACTCTTGAAACCTTGAGCAAGAAATGCAGCACATAAAGGCCACAAAAGCAGAGGCCCAGAGCTGCCCACGCTAGCTGCAGGCACACAGGGCCCTCTGGCTGTCAGCTGGAGGCATTTGCCGGAAAAGGACCTGTGGGAGGAATCTGCTCCAAGGAAGCAATGCCCACAGGGTGGCAGCAAGGGGAGTGTGGAGGGGCCTGATGGGTAGCTGAGGGTGGGGTTGCATCTCCTGGTCAGAGCAGGTAGGCGATGCACTGAAGCTACTGCCCAGGCATAAATATCTCAGTAGGAGCACACACATAAGTAATTGTTCTTCTTTCTAAAGGTGTCTGTTTTAGGAAGCGGCAGAAACACGTGAGCCTAGGTCAGCAGCGGCATCCCAGGGCTGCCCCTCCCAGAGGCAAGTGGACAGCTGTGCTGGAGCAGGCCCACCTGGGCTTCCTTCTCCAGCTTGGTCATGTTCAGAAACATCTGGGCGATCTCCCGGTCGAACACTCGCACTCGGTCCCAGTCCAAAAGGAGAGATCTGTCCTTATCGGTGATCACCTACAGGATGAAGGACACAGGAGAACCCGGGAGAGAAAAGGTCCAGGTGAGCCACTGCTAGGGGAGAATGAGACAGATGGAGCTGGTCTTTGTGAGCAAAACGGTCCCGGCTCTAAAGCTCTCGCAACCGTACCCGTTCAGGTGTGCAGGCACACAGGTACACAGGCTGAGACCCAGCCCCACTCCAGGTGGAGGCTGCTCTGACACCAGGACCCCTGCTGAGGCCAGGCGGCAGGATTCATGAGGCAAGCCCGAAGCCAAGGCTGATGTGTCCTTCAGGGGCATCGGGGCCCCCACCTTTCACGCGATCCCTGCACACCCACTGAGCCAGTACAGCACCAAGTGTGGTCCCAGACCCGCATCAACCAGAGCAGCTCTGAATTATGCTTTAAATCTCAGGAGAAGCTTCCATGTCACGCAGAGAAGGGGGTCTAAGACTTTTTGTTTGCTTGTTTTGTTTCATTGTTTTTTGTTTTGGGTGAGGTAATTAGATATTTATTTTGATGGAGGCACTGGGGATTGAACTCAGGACCTTGTGAGCAAAAGGCACATGCTCTACCACTCAGCTAAACCCTCCCCCCTAAAAGTCAGTGGCTCAGGGCCCTCAGTCCAGTCCTCGGGCCTGACTGCCACAGCTGTGGCCCCAACACGTGACCACACCCCACACTGCCAAAGCTGAGATTACTCCCTCTAATCGAGATTCAACGCACCCAGGCCCAGCCTTGTCCTGCCGCCTCCATGAAGGCCGGGGCCTTCCTGGGCACCTGCGACCACTGCCTGGTGGGCCAGCTGTCCACACATGTGCCCTTGGCCTGGGGACTAAGACGAGGAGGATGGGGGCTCCCAGAATCCACACCCAAGCCAGAGGGAGCCAGCGTGAACACAATGGGGCGAACCTTGGCCTGCAGCACCCAGTAGGTCTCGGGCTTGAAGGACTGGATCCTGTCGTGTCTCTCCACGCAGAAGCCCAGTGTGGGGGTCTGGCACGGCCCGAAGGAGATAAGCGAGCTGTCCAGGTTGCCATATTTCCCCTGGAAGTACTTGGTCTGGAACCTGCCAGGGCGGCGGGAGAGAGGAAAATGGTTCAGTCCTGCGTTCAGTCAAGCATCATGAGCCACCGGTGGGAGGCAGGTAGGGGCTGGCTGGCTGGCGAGTGCGGGAGGCCCAAGGCAGATGCTCTGGGCTCAGAAGGCCCAGGAAGAGGACCTACTGGGCACAGGGCCAGAGGGAGCCGCGTGTGCGCTGACAGAGCTACAGGAGAGAGCAGAGGCTATGAGCACTGGGGCAGAAGGTCCTCCCATTTTACTCCAAGCACCCCTAGACCCGCCCACTCTTCTTGTGGAGCAGGGGCCTCTGTCTGTGGTCTGCATCAACTACAGAGGGAGTTTTCACAGGGATTTAAAAGTGGTGACACTCTCGCGTTGCTGATCAGACAGGGCACAGACTAGGACCAGTCGAGGCAGCGGCCGGTGGGGGGGCAGGGGCACCTGGTAAAGGCGCAGCCGATGCGCAGGTCCAGCTCCTGCCGCGCATCTACCGAGAGCGCCTCGTTGTGGTCGGGCTCGCCCAGGCGGGCCATAGCGTTGCAGATGTCTGTGTCGGTGATGGAGCTGAACCTGGCCCGGAACACCGTCTTCTCGCCCCCGTGGGCCTGACTCATGACCGGCAGCACAGCGTCCAGGACCTGCGGGAGGCGCCCGGCTGTAAGGCTCCGCTCTGCCCCGCCCTAACCTGTGCCGCCTGGCTCCTCCCACTCCCACCAGACCCGCCTCCATCGCCTCCCCTCCCAGAAGTCTGTCTCGTCAGGACTCCTTTCCTTTGGGCAACAAACATGTTCCAAGTCCCACTCCTCTTGCTGCCCCCTCTCTCCCTGTGGCTGCTCCCCATCCCCCACCAACCTCCAAACCCAGAAGCATTTCTGCCAAGAACGCAAGGGAACTCAGCCTCCAAGTCCCCCCAGTTTGGACACACTTCCCCTCTTTCTAGAGGAGGGAGTTTAGGAGGGGTGGGTCGATTTGAGACTTTTCAGAGATGGGAGGAAAGACAGAGAAGAAAAAAGAAGGAAAGGCCGTGGATGGGAGTAGGGGGCTGGGGCGGCTCAGGCCTAGAGCACAGCGGGGTCCTGGGGTTCTGGGGTCCTGGAGCCCCGACTCACTAAGAATTAGTGAAGGCCGTGCAGTGGGAGGGGAGTCACCGCTGGAACCTGGCCACGCAGCTTCTTTACGGGGAGGAAGTGGCCTGTTTCCAAGGGGAGAAAGCCGGTGAGCTGCCACCCTTCTCCACCCCAGACGCAAAGGTCCCTGGGGAGGAGCAGCCCTGTGGGAGATGGAAGGGCCTGATGGGTTTCCTGAGGGCGCCAAGCCATGGGTGAGAGTGGGGGACGGAGGCAGGAGGGGACCTGTCTGGAGTCATGGCCTGGGGTACCTGTGCAGGCAGGCAGGGAGCTCCACCTGCTCCTGGGGGAGGGCTGCCTGGGGGTGGCAGAGACAGAGGTGGTAGAAGAGGATGGAGCAGGTGGGAGGTGAGAAGAGGGAGGCGAGTGAAGGCTGTCGGCCAGCACTTGTGGAAGGTGGAAAGGTCGCTGCCTTGAGATGGGAGGGGGGGCCACTGCGCTCAGCACCACCCTCTCCTGGAGACAGCCCTGTTCCAGCCCCCATCTGGGAAATCCCGCTCCCTCACAATGTACCAGCAGGTGAGGGGAAGCTCTTCACCCTGAGTGGAGCCTGTGCCTCTCAAACTGTCTACAGAATCTCCAGAGCGAGGAGAGAGGCTCTGGTACCCCGGCAGGGCTGGTGCCCCTGCGGCAGCGTGGGCCCAGGGAGGGCGGGGCGGCGGTAGGCGTGCAGCCCTGGGCCTCACCTCGAAGCAGATGTTCTCCCCCTCCTTGTCGCAGTCCAGCCACAGCACAATGTAGTCACAGCCTTTGCCCTCCACCTGCGCACAGCACACGGGACTCGCGTCTGCCTCGGCCCAGCCCCAGAGCCCTGAGCCCAGTCAGGAGGCCTGGAGCCCAGGGCAGGCCCAGGCGGGGCGGAGGAGCCAGCTACAGTCAGCTTCCTTAGGCTCTCAAGAAAGAATTTCGTATACAACTGCTGCTTTTTGGACAACAAATGTTATAAGTGCCATATGATCTTAACCCCCAAAACTGCATTAAAAAAAAGCTTAGAGGAAAGAACTAAACATAACAGTGGCTGCCTGGGGTAGTGTGACCATAAATAACTTTTTCTTCTTTCTACATATCTCTATTTTCCAAGTTTCCGTCACATGTATGCATTTGTTTTAAAATCAGGAAACCAAATGCGCTACTTTAAGAGCAGGCCCTGCTCTGGGGGCTGACGGTGTCAGGGAGGAGTGGGCCCGGGGCACGTCGGGGCGAGTGGGGTGCTGAAGCCAGGACGCACCTGCAGGAACTTCACCATGTTCAGCTTGGGGTTGGCCTCCTTCTTCTCAGTCGGGGCCTGGCTGAACAGCTCGGCGGGATCCACCTTGTCCCACTTGTTGTACCTTCCTACAGACGCGGCAAGGGGACGTCAGAGTCACACGTCAGAGTCACACACTTCTCGGCTTCTCCCAGCCCCCTCTGCCCCACCCTCCTCCTCACAGGGACTTGGACCCAAGAGGACGGTGGGGACAGGGAGGCTTAGAGAACCACTTGCTCAGAGCAGGCCCGTCCTTACCCTGAGCTGTGAGTCCACACCACACCTCAGCCATGTGCGGGAGTCACGCAGGCTCTGGGCATGCCCTGTCTCCTCTTCCAGCCTGGTGGTCGGCCGGCACCCGACTGGGACTCAGCAGATCCCGGGAGCATTAGTCCCCTTTTGCCCTATGTCCGGGGCACCCCCTACTTCTCCATGTGGGGTTTGGGGCTCACGTGCCCAGCCTTGAGGCTTCCTTCCAGGCCTCACTGGTCAGACAGAGCCAAGTTCAAATCCTGGCTCCCCACCTGCTTCTGCTGGTGGTAAATTTGGGGTCCAACTGCCTGGCCATACCACTTGGTGGGAGTCACAGAGCAGCAAGAACTGTCGAGGCTTCACTGTGGGTGGCCTGTGCTAAGTGTTGCCACCTCCCTGCTGCACCCGGGCCTCAATAATCCTGAGAGGTGATGGCACTGTCCTCACAACCCTTCACACACACAGAGGCCCAGCCCCAGCGGAGTGAGGGTCATGGCTCATGTCGGACCCTCGGCAACTGCAGCCCTGCACCTAGCCCCAGCCTTGTAATAACAACCACCAAATGCCCACTAGACAAAAGCCATGTGTGGCAGGGCAGTAGCCCTCTCCCAAACACCTGAATGGGCCAGGCCCCTGCTGAGGTGGGCACCAGTGCCTCCAGTTTGCACAGGAAGGGGCACAGGGCACACAGTGACTGAGGGGCACCACTGGACGAGGACCCATGGGTGCTGAGCTCTGAAACCTGGTTCTGGGCACATGGCCTGGGACCCCAGGTCAGCTCTCCTCAAACCGCTGGCCATAGGACTCATGGATTCTGGACAAATCTCTGGGCCCTGGGCCCTCCCCCAGCTCCACCAGGACCCCGGGCAGCACTGTGCAATGGAGGTAGGCAAGTGGGTGGGGGGCTCACCCAGGAAATCCAGGGTCATCACATGACCGCAGACGGATGTCATCTTGAAGCGGACAGGCTGGCCAGAGAAGGTCCCTGAGTACTCGTGCACCGAGCATGTCCCGTTCAGCCCTTTGCGTGAGGACATGCTCCCTGGGGAGAAGCAGGGTAACGGCCACTCCAGCAAGCTGCACCCCACACAGCCCCGGGCAGGCCAGGGTCCCCCTCCCTGCAGTGGTCAATGATGACCTCCCTTAGGCCACTGAGGGTGCTGAGAGATCTGATGGCTCCCCCTCAGCTGAACTTTCTCAGCCTCAGGGGACCAGGCACTTATGGGGGCTCCCTTCTCCCTCAGACCACGACTTCTCAGCCTGCTGCCCCGGGGTGTCCTCCGCCCTCAGCCACCAGACGCCTCTGGGTCCACAGCACCCAAACACTCTTCCTACTGAGGGAATTCAGAGGCAGGAGAGAAGTAGCTTCCTCCCAATCACCCAGGGGCCAGGGTGGGGTGAGGGCAGGCGCCCTGGGGTCCCTCCAGTGACATGAGGAGCGTGGCTGCAGCTGCCGGGGCCTGGACAGCAGTGCCCACAGCAGGGCCTCATCAGATCAGGCCATGCAGGGTCTGGCCATGTCTTCCTCCTTCCAGCAGACTCTCTCTGCATGAGTTAGCAGGGCTGGTTTCTGTTGACTGTGACCGACAGCCCTGCCAGGGCCAGAGCACCTCCCTGCCGTGTGGGAGCCCCGGCCTGCTCACGCTGAGTAATCACCCCCCACGGTGACCAAGTGACTAAGTGGCCGAGAGCTCTGTCCATACCTGCCGGCCTGAACACAATCTACTCCAGTGGGCTGGGGTCACCCTTCGGAAAAGAAAGAAATGCCCTGCAAGTGAACCGACCAGCTTATGGATCAAAGCCGGTGAGAGGACCGGGCTGCCCTCCTACCTCGAGAAAGGATTTTGGCGATGGACTGGGCCAAGGATGGCTTCTCTGCCACCATGAGCACGGTCTTCATCGTGTGTCAGTGCTGCGGGGCCCCGGCCTCACGCACGCTTAGGGCAATGACAGTGACCCAGCTCGTACGCTGCCCCACGCAGCTGCCTGCCGCCACCGCACCACCTCCTAAGGAGGAAAGACACACAGGAAATAGCCACGCCTCCTGCGGGAGCCACACCACCAACGGGCAACTCCCTCTCTACACAAAACAAATCCTAGGCAAGAAAGAAAACTCAGGGAGACTTGAAGGCACCCAGCAGATGACTGCCTGAGGGAACTGAGCCTCCGGGATGACCTGGGGAACATGGCTTCACTCAAGAGATGTTGAGGTGGCCCCACAACCCCAGGCTGATTTTGTCCCCGAATTCACACTACGAAGACGTGAGGGCCTCTGGGCCTAGCCCCCTGCCCTTGGAGCCAGTTTCCCCTAGGGGCCTAGAGTGGCACCTCCACCTTGGTGGCGCATCAGGGTCCCTGGGTGCTTCACCTAACACAGGCCCAGGCTGGGCACCCATTTCCTCCTGACCCCCAAGTGGAGCTCATGAGGCCTTCCCAACAGGGTCTGGTCCACCTTTCGGCCTGGCCTGCCCCACCTCTCATTTTGCAGGCCATCCTCCGGCTAATTAAGTCGGACACTGTCGCCTAAAGGAAAAATACATCCACTTGCCTGGAATGCTCCTTGGAGCCCAAAGGCAGCTGGATGCAGAAGGCCTGGTTCAAGCGCTAAGTCTCCTTTAAAGAGCTCTCCCTCTCAGGGAAGGCAGGTGGATTCTTCCCTGTGAACTGCCTGCTCATATTTGTGTCCATTTTTTTTTCAAGAGGGTTGCTGTTTTCCTACTTTTTTTCGTTTTCATATTCTTTTTCATTACAGGTCAGTACAAGATATTGAACATAGTTGCCTGTGCTATACAGTAGAAAGTTGTTGATCTACTTTATATATACTAGTTAGTATTTACAAATCTCAACCTCCTAATTCATCCCTCTCCACCCCTTTTCCCCCCTGGTAACCATAAGTTTGTTCTCCATGTCTGTGAGTCATTTCTGTTTTATAAGTAAGTTTATTTGTCTTTTTTTTAGATTCCACATATGAGTGATATTATATGGTATTTTTCTTTCTCTTTCTGGCTTACTTCACTTAGAATGACACTCTCCAGGTCCATCCATGTTGCTGCAAATGGCATTATTTTATTATTTTTTATGACTGAGCAGTATTCCATTGTATAAATATACTACAACTTCTTTGTCTAGTCATCTGTTGATGGACATTTAGGTTGTTTCATGTCTTGGCTATTGTAAATAGTGTCGCTATGAACATTGGGGTGCATGTATCTTTTTTGAATTAGAGTTTCCTCTAGATATATGCCCAGGAGTGGGATTGCTGGATCATACAGTAAGTCTATTTTCAGTCTTTTGAGGTATCTCCATACTGTTTTCCATAATGGCTGCACCAAACTACATTCCCACCCACATTGTAGGAGGGTTCCCTTTTCTCCACAACCTCTCCAGTATTTATTGTTCGTGGACTTTTAAATGATGGCCATTCTGACTGGTGTGAGGTGACACCTCATTGTAATTTTGATTTGCAATTTCTCTAAAATTAGCGATGCTGAGCATTTTTTCATGTGTTTGTTGGCCATCCGTCTGTCTTCTTTGGAGAGATGTCTATTTAAGTCTTCTATTTTTTTGATAGGGTTCCTTGTTTTCTGATATTAAGTTGTATGAGTTGTTTCTATATTTTGGAAATTAGTTCCTTGTCAGTTGCATCGTTTGCAAATATTTTCTCCCATTCTGTAAGTTGTCTTTTCATTTTGTTGATGGTATCCTTAGCTGTGCATAAGCTTTTAAGTTTAATTAGGTCCCATTGGTTTATTTTTGCTTATATTTCCATTACTCTAGGAGCTGGTTTGAAAAAAATATTGTTATGATTTATGTCAAAGAGTATTCTGCCTATGTTTTCCTCTAGGAGTTTTATAGTATCCGGTCTTACATTTAGGTCTTTAATCCACTTTAAGTTTATTTTTGTATATAGTGTTAGAGAATGTTCTAACTTCATTCTTCTATGTATAGCTGTCCAGTTTTCCCAGCACCACTTATTGAAGTCTTTTCTCCATTGTATACTCTTGCCTCCTTTGTTATAGATTAATTGACCATAAGTACATAGGTTTATTTCTGGACTTTCAATCCTGTTCCATTGATCTATGTGTCTGTTTTTGTACCAGTATCATACTGTTTTAATTTCTGTAGGTTTGTAGTATAGTCTGAAGTTGGGGAGCATGATTCTCCCAGCTCTGTTCTTTCTCAAGACTGTTTTGGCTATTTGGGGTCTTTTGCGTTTCCATACAAATTTTAACATTCTTTTGTTCCAGTTCTGTGAAAAATGTCATCAGTAATTTGACAAGGATTGCATTGAATCTGTATATTGCCTTGGGTAGTATGGCCATTTTAACAATATTGATTCTTCGAATCTAAGAACATGGTGTATCTTTCCATCTGTTTATGCTGTCCTCAATTTCTTTCATCAGTGTCTTACAGTTTTCAGAGTATAGGTCTTTTGCCTCCTTAGATAGGGTTATTCCTAGGTATTTTATTCTTTTTGATATGATGGTAAATAGGTTAGCTTCCTTAATTTCTTTTTCTGCTATTTCATTGTTAATGTATAGAAATGCAACGGAGTTCTGTATACTAATTTTGTATTCTGCAACTTTACCAAATTCACTGATGAATTCTAGTAGTTTTCTGATAGCGTCTTTAGGATTTTCTACATATAGTATCATGTCATCTGCAACCAGATGTTTCATTTCTTCTTTTCCAATTTGGATTCCTTTTATTTTAATTTTTTTCTGATTGCTGTGGCTAGGATTTTCAAAACTATGTTGAATAAAAGTGGTGAGAATGGGCATCCTTGTCTTGTTCCTGATCTTAGAGGAAACGCTTTCAGCTTTTCACCATAAAGTATGATGTTAGCTGCGGGTTTGTCATATATGGCCTTTATTATGCAGAGGTTATTGTTCTCTTTGTGCCCACTTTCTGGAGGGTTTTTATCATAAATGGATGTTAATTTTATCAAAAGCTTTTTCTGCATCTATTGAGATGATCATATGGTTTTTATTCTTCAGTTTATTAATATGGTATATCACATATTGAAAAAAAAATCCTTGCATCCCTGGATAAAACTCACTTGATTATGGTGAATGACTCTTTTAATGTGTTGTTGGAGTCGATTTGATAGCATTTTGTTGAGGGTTTTTGAATCCATATTCATAAGTGATATTGGCCTATAATTTTCTTTTTTTGTGGTATCTTCGTCTGGTTTTGGTATGAGGATGATGGTGGCAGAAGTGTTCCTTCCTCTGCAATTTTTTGGAATAGTCTCAGAAGGATGGGTGTTAAGTCTCCTGGAAATGTTTGGTAGAATTCACCCTGTACCCCCTCCCCGAGTGTCCTGCTTGTCCCTGCCCCCAGGCCTCACCTCGGTCTACCTCCTCCACCACCTGCCCCTCCCAGGAAAAACCACTCCTGCCACCATTGCTGTGCCCCTCCATGGATGGAGTGTAGTTCATCTAGGACACCCAGCACTCAACTGGGCGAGTGTTGGCTGAATGAATGAATGAATGAATGAGCAACCACAGCTGGTCTTATGCAGCCTCCACTCTCTGTCCCAGGGGATAGTCAGAGGCCCAGAACAGACCTCCCTCATCCCTCCCACACCAACAGAAGCCAGAGGCCTCGGGGAACATGGAAGCAAAGGGAGAGTGCTTTGCAGGGGCTTTCCCATCCCTTTGCCCTAAAATCCTAAAATCCCTCAGATTTTCTCACTTCTGCAGCGTAAGAGCTGCCAGCCATCACACTGGAGGTGTCCTGCCAGTGTCCTCGGGTGTGTGTGCTGTGTTGAGCTGCTCTGAGTGGGAGCTGGAGGGTCATCGGGGAGACCAGAGCTCACCCACATTTATGCTGTAGGCCTCCGTGAGCATCCCTCCAGCTCTTCCCTCTGTACCAGAGAGCATCTCCACCGACTCATCTGGTTTTTGTCTCACAGTTCCCGGAAGGTAAACTCCGGGGGAACAGGGATGTTACTCTAGTGGCAAGTAATATAGGCAATTAACAGATACTGCCTGAATGAATGACTCTTGAATATATAAAAGCCCAAGTCTGCTTGCAAACTAATAATAAAAATACTTTTTTCAATATCTAAAAGTTATTTAGAAAAAAAATTTTTTTGAGGTGGGGAGGTAATTAGATTTGTTTGTTTGTTTGTTTGTTTAATGGAAGTACTGGATTAAACCCAGGACCTTGTGCATGCTAAGCATGTGCTTTACCACTGAGCTGTATTCTCCATGCCTCTGATGTCCAAAATTTAAAAACTGACTTTAAATTGGTATGAGTATTGCAAACATTTCCCCTTCTCAATGTTCCTTTCTCTGTGGGGTCAAAGTTTCTATAAGTTTCAAGTCTCTACTACTCCCCTTCATATCTAAGGATCCTAAACACTTCTCCAGTAAATAATTAACACATTCTTCAGTACAGATCCCTTCAGAGAGAAACATTTTGCCCTAGCATCTTTAAAGAGATCACATTTACCCAGGACAAGAGGTGCAATTGGGCAGTCAGTCATACAAAGGTACAGCAGCGTCAGTCCCAATTTCAGGTCACCTGTCCACCTCTCAGACTGTGTACCTGCTATGTGGCCCATCTCCAGCAGCTCTGGCTCTAAAGAAACACGTGTTCCATTTTAACAGTTTATACTCCAGTATTGCATGAGTACTTTGTAACGTTCTGAGTACCACTGCTTTATTAGGGAAAAAAACCCCACATTCTTTACAGATACGGAATCATGGAATCCTGGGGAGAGGAGTCTTGATGACGAGCCGGTACAACCATCTCAAGGAAGAACAAACTAAGACCCAAGGAAAGCAATTTTCCAAAGGTAAGCTGGGGAATTTACCAAGTTGGGGCTGAAACTCATGCTACCTTACTTCAAGCCAGGTACTTTTTTTTTTTTTAAACTGCACCAGGTTCCATCTCTTAAGAGATGTCTGGAATCTTTTATTTATTCATTTATTTATTTTGGTTGGGGATGGGAGGCAATTAGGTTTATTTATTTATTTAATGGAGATACTGGGGGTTGAACCCAGGACCTCTTGCATGCTAAGCATGCATTCTACCACTGAGCTATACCCTCCCCCATTCTGCAGTCTTAACATTAATTTTTTGTGATAATCTTGGAGCCTCCCTACTTTTCCATTAAGGCATATCTCCAATTTCAAAATGGAAGCCAGCAAAAACAGAAGCTGAAAGCAATGGTTTTCAAACTTCATTTATATACCATCTTAACACCTTTGCCTTACTGACATTATTATTTATTTGTTTTTGCTTTTTAATATATAAAAAAGGAAAATTTTTATAGCCTCTTTGGAGCTGAAGGCCTGTAATCAATCATGAGAACTAGATTCCTTCCAGTGACCTACATGTTCTATCAGGTTCAATTTCGTGGTCTGTCAAAGCTCCGAGCCTGAAGTCTGTCCTCTTATTTCAGAAAGGAAGATAAGCAAGTGCTAAGAGTCTGTCGACACCCAACATCCCAAATTAGAGCTGTAATTAAGAGGGCTGAAAGTCAAAGGGAGTAGAGGTTAGCCTATTATTACCCTGCCAACTCACCAGGGACACCACAATGGCATGTGTCCTTGGCAGATACTGTAGATAAAGTCCTTTCCTGTCAGTGTCTTACGCACAAGTGGATGGCGCTTGGGAGTGAAGGCTTAGCAGTGGTCCGCACAGCATTTAGACCCCTGAGATTTCCCACCTTAGTATCGCATCAAACACCTATGGAGTCAGAGAAAGAAACAACCATTTCTTAAGCTCCTCCTTTGCGGACATGCTACAGCTATAAACGCTCCTTTATTTAATCTCGCCAAGAACCCTACAAGGCCGCGCTGTAACTTTTTTAAACAATGAGTAAACTGAGGTTGAGAGCAATTCAGACTAGAGCCAGGTGACCTTTGCCAAGGTTCTAGGGACCCCAGGGCTCGCTGGCCACCAAGCCCACGTGGGGCTGACTTCTCACGTCCTGCTCTCAAAGGCCGAGCGACAAAGAGGCAAGACGAGGCCTCTGTGAGAAAGTACTGCCCCGGATTCCAGCTAATTTGTTCACAGAGGTGCCCTCCCGCCGCCCCTCGTCTACACCGACCCCTCATAAAAGCACGCCCCGGGCCCGGCTTCGAGTACGGGCCGGGGACGGGAAGGGTGGGTGGACGTCGCGGACCCCGGAAACCCGCCCGGACCCGGCCGGCCGGCCGTCGACGTGAGCCT